GGGCTGGGTTTGGGAAAGAGTTTGGCTTTAGATTTGTCTTTAGGCGGTCTGCCTCTCCGTCGAGGTAAAGAGATGGCTGGGGGTTTTTTCGGCGTGTGGGCCATTGCTGGTGCTGCTGGGGAGGGTTTCAAAGCATTTTTAGGTGGCCGTCCTCTCCGGCGTGGTAAAGACGATGAAGGCGAGGAGGATGAGTTCCTCTTTAGTTTTGAGCGCCTGAGAGGCTCCCATTCTTCAGAAGAATCAATACTGTAACATATAATGAATACACTTAATTGTTATATCACATTAAAGAGGTTTATTGTTATTCATTACACTTTAGGCAAAGGAAAGCATTAAAACCACAGGGAAAAAAACAGATTCATGAATGCAAACGATACATGCAAAAAATACATTGAATACAGTGCTTGCAAGACTGCTTTGCTATTCTTTGCCGTCTCATTTGATATTAATTCTGCTCAACACGTTTCATAATGAAGCGCTGCACTGTTTTCATTTACACACGAACAGCTCACAATCCAGTGTTTTCAGCGTCTCAGTTCACAGGAAATGCTGCTCTACATAAACTCATCACTAAATTTGCTCGGAGTTTGGGTCGCTTATAATGTGCATTTAAGAACCATATTCCCAAACTTTCAATGATAATTGCTTATAACCTGGCTGTTGACAACAAAAGCGAAACTTTACCGGCTCCCTGCTGTTGTACCGACAAACTAAACATTTGAAAATTAAGACATCCATAAATATTAGTACGGTAATTTTACAATTTAACAGTTTTACAGTAATTTTACAATAAAATAAATTTTATTATATTGTTGTTGTTTTTTTTAAATATCCAATTTTTTATATTACAGTGAAATATTACAATAGCAGCACCATTCCTCATTTAGTTTATTTTTTATTTAGTAGTAATAATCATTATCATTATTATTTTATAGTCATATTGATATATGAATCACAAAAAAACTTACTATACCATTTTAATAAACAAATATATAATTTCCTTTATTTCTTATTTTGTCTGGTCACGTGATTTCTGAATTGCACTCTGTTATTGCACATTGCATATTAATTACTTTACTGACCTTTACAGATTGCTTATTTTTTATTTATATCACATACGGCACACCAATGCCATGCATGTTGTACTTGGTAATTGCAATTATGAGTTCTTACTCCATCTTACCCTGGGATGCAGACACAGCAAACAGATTTTTCCTGAGTTGACAACTTGTCCGACTGAATCCGTGTTTGTGCCGTACAGGTTCTGTTCAAACTCGCCAGACTCTGTGAACTTCCCTGCAGCCAGGTCAGATTCAAAGCTCTGTCGTGATACAAAATTGTACTCCCTGCCGTTGACCTCATGTGCACGGGGCTTTCGTGTGGTGTCTGTGACACATGTTCAAAAATACATCTAAGTACAATGCAAAACAGTAGGCTGTGTATAAATACATGTCTGTTTGTATGCTTTAATTCCTGATTGTATATGCAACCCAGTTTTTCTTAAAGGAATCGTTCACCCAGAAATTAGAATTTGCTGAAAAGGCAAACTTCAGCATTCAAGGCCATTCAAGATGTAGATGAGTTTGTTTCTTCATCAGATTTGGAGAAATGTAGCATTGCATCACTTGCTCAGCAATGGATGCTCTGCAGTGAATGGGTGCCGTCAGAATGAGAGTCCAAACAGCTGATAAAAACATCACAATAATCCACACAACTGCAGTCCATCAGTTAACATCTTGTGAAGTAAAAAGCTGTGTGTTTGTAAGAAACAAATCCATCATTAAAGGGGTCATATGATGTTGCTAAAAAGAATATTATGTTGTGTATTTGGTGTAATGAAATGTGTTTATGCAGTTTAAGGTTAAAAAAAACACATTATTTTCCACATAATGTACATTATTGTTTCTCCTTTTTTCCCCCGCTTTTCTGAAACGCGTCGATTTTTACAAAGCTCATCGGTCTGAAAAGCGAGGTGTGCTGTGATTGGCCAGCTATGCAGTGCGTTGTGATTGGCCGAATACCTCAAGCGTGTGACGGAAATGTTACGCCCCTTTACCATACTGTGATGCCGTGTCCCGGCGCGACGACAAGAAACCAATAAAACCCATTATAAACGAGGCATTTGTTGCATCCAGTGGGGACATAATTACGGATTATAATGACTTATACTGTCTTTTTACGCGTTGCATCACGCCACGTAAACATAAAACCATGTCTGCATTTGTGATCGGAGAAATGACAAACAACAAGTGCTACTCTACACTGCTCAAAACTCGCGTTTGAATCGTCAGTGGCAAATTCTTTAAATATAAAAAACGTACTTACAGGCTGTGAGTCAGAACAGCCGGCATTGTAGTCTACTCTACCAGGATCAGGAAACAGTCCTCTATAAAATGTGCTGCACACATCTGAATATTTGGGTTAAACTGTTCTGGAACAGTGTTGTAAATACAACTTAACCACTGATTTCTAGTCATGTCCTCTTTTGGAAGACCAACAAAGTAGTTTTGCTTTCACAACGAAACACACGCTCACTAGAGTGAGCGGAGGGCTAAAGAACGGCGCAGCCGGCAGATTCGACGAAGGAGTGTCCGGCGGGCTTGCGGCAACCACATGTGACGACCCCGGGCTGGACTCCAAAGAGAAAGGAAAAATTGTAACACTCCAAAGAGAAAGGAAAAATTTAAATCGCATCATATGACCCCTTTAAGGCCTTTTAACTTCAAACCGAATCCTCTATCCATAATATTGCTTCCTCCAGTGAAAAAGACGTCGCGTCTGAATCAAGAGAGAAATCTGCACAGATCAAGCACCATTTACAAGCCAAAACAGCTTTAAACAAATATGTGGGTGGATTTTGATGTGAGAGACAACATGAGATGGATTTTTTCACTGGAGGAAGCGTTATTATGGATTACGGACTCATATTTTGGCCAGAAGTGACCGTTTAAAATGGCTTAATGATAGATTTGTTTCTTACAAACATTGAACTGGAGTAGTTATAGTAGTAGTAGTTATCCCTGGACTGGACTGGTGTGGATTACTTGTGGATTGTTGTGATGTTTTATGAGATGTTTGGACTCTCATTCTGACGGCACCCATTCACTGCAGAGGATCCATTGGTGAGCAAGTGAAGCAATGCTACATTTCTCCAAATCTGTTCCCATGAAGATACAAACTCAGCAAATTTTCATTTTTGGGTAAACTATTCCTTCAGTAATTAAATTATTAGTTCCGTTCCAAAACTTAGGAAAGCTGCCCACATAAGTATGATCTTACAGCATTACAACATAATGAGTCTCTTATGACATTTAATTTTAATATTGATGCAGCTCACTAGGTTTTGGAAGCGAGCCATTGTGCCTTCTCCTGTAATTTGGCTGTCATGTTAAACAACTTTGTCAAAAGTTGTAAAAAGTTGTAAAAAAGCATAATCTCACGTGGAACAGCACCAGCGAACCGGTCAGGCTCTAAAGAGAGCAGTCTTTGTCTCAGTTCATCATGTCCGCTGTTAGGTGGACCAATCAGAGCGATGGGGCGCTTGCGGTTGGGCGGCTGATGGTACAGTGCCACCTCCTCATAGGTCAGGATATCCTCAGTGTAATGCTCTGAACAATTACAAATATTCATTACTGATGAGTTTTTGCAAAATATAAATTTAATTAGTCTATGCCAGGGCTATTGAACTCAGCTCAACAAGAGTTTTCAAAGAAATTCCCAAACAATGAATGTCCACAACATGAGACAAAAGGTAAACCTGTGTTCCTTCTCAGCATGCCTTCTGTTTTTAAATGCAAATTGCAACTCAGGTGTGAAAAATGCTTTCATTGTTATTTCTTATTGCCCATCTTGCAGGAGAAGAAACCTCCCTTCATGAACGTCTGTCAGTTAGCTAACGACTCTTATATCCTCAGCCTTTCACCCACCCGAAACCATTCACACCTCAAACCCATCAGCTGAATCAAATTCACTCTAAAACGAGTGGAAAAAACTTTATACTTGCACTCAAGCCATAGCAAGGGAATTACAGTGGATCATTTGGATTTGCACCAGTAAACTACCACTCAGAACACCCTAGCAACCACATAGCAACACACTAGAAACCACTCAGAACACCCTAGCAACTGAATAGCAACACTCTAGAAACCACTAATAACACCCTAGCAACCGCATAGCAACACTAGAAGCCTCTCAGAACATCCTAGCAACTGCATAGCAACACCCTAAAACCACTAAGAACACCCTAGCAACCGCATAGCAACACTAGAAGCCACTCAGAACACCCAGCAACCACATAGCAACACACTAGAAATGACTAAGAACACCCTAGCAACTGCATAGAAGCCACTGAGAACACCCTAGCATCCGCATAGCAACACTAGAAGCCACTCCGAACACCCTAGCAACTGGATAGCATCACTAGCAGCCCCTCAGATCACCCAGCAACCGCATAGCAACACACTAGAAATGACTAAGAACACTCTAGCAACTCCATAGCAACATTAGGAGCCACTCAGAACACCCTAGCAACCGCATTGCAACACAAGAAGCCACTCAGAACACCCTAGCAACTGCATAGTAACACACTGGAAACCACAAAGAACCCCTAGCAACTGCACAACAACAACATGGCAACCACCCACAGCATTTTCATTGCACTAGAACTGATGACTAACAAAATAACAGCAGGAACAATTAGGTCAATTAAGGATGAATTTCAATTTTGATTCCATTTTTAAGAATTCAGCAGATACTCACCGATATTCTTACTAGGGTTAAACAAGAGTTTTTTCCTTTGCTTTTTGCCTTTCTTTGCACACCAAAGTTTCCCTGAGGAAAGAAGATCTGTTATCAGTGACACCAAACTTCAACATCAACAGCAACGTCTAAGTGTTTTAAGGATGATGAAAGCTCAAAGTTTCTGTTTGTGTCTCTATAGAAGTTTTTTTCTGGCAGGAAGTGAGTGAGTTTCAGACAGATGTGGTCCAGCTCACCTTTATACTCTTGATTTCTGTCTGTAATGGTTTTCTTCATGGCTTCTCTGTGCTGTTGGAAGCTCTTCCCTTGAAAGAACACAACAGATGATGACCACTGATGATCTTGTCTTACTATGGTACTAGACATGCAACGAGTTAGGGAAAGACTGTATTATTTGCTCTGGAAAACACAAAACTGTCAGTGTTAAAAAAAATTACACATGGCAATAGTGGCAAAAGTATATCTCAATATTTTTCTGACTTTTGACCAAAACCTAAATAAATATTAATTATTAATTAGATTAATATAATTACAAAATAAAAATAAGAAAAATAAGAACAGCACACAACAAAATTTGAAAAACGTATAACTTACAATATATATATATATATATATATATATATATATATATAAAATAGAAAATATTAAAAAAGCAAATTTAAAATATAAATAAACACAGTAATACTATTTAAATAATAATAAAATAACACTATAATCATTGAATCAGAGTTTAAACTTAATTGGCAAATAAAAAGTGTAAATTCATTGCAAATGCATGATGAATATCATTGTATGTCGCCCTAATCAGCAAAACATTAAATTATTTTTTCAATGGATTTACATGCACTTTTTTATGTCTCTATTCTGTAATTCAGCAGGCACTCTGCTAATTGTTCTAACCAGGTATAAGGCCAGCAAGGGGCTTCTGGTCCTCATGTCCGTCCCGGTACGCCTGCCACCAGTTGGGGTCGTCCTGGCTGGTGACATGTAGGACGTCTCCCTTTTGGAAGGAGAGGCCGAGCTCTCTGCATGGCACGTATGGGTCCTCAGATGGGTCATAGCTGAAGTTTGCCTTCACATGCATCTGTAAAGAAAGAGAACGAGGAGACCAGGACAAAGCTTATGTATAAGCTTTGTACCAAACCCTAATGAGCTGCTACCAAGCATAAAATCTATTCAAAATAGTAGTTATCAAAGGTATCAGCCTCATAAACTATCATACATTTTTCACAAGTATACTAATGTATAAGGCAATTCCAGAATGCATTGTGGCAAGAAGCCTACTAGGGTTTGAAACCGAGTTGAAGACAAGCCTAAACACACATTCAAAAGAAGGAATGAAAATGAAGAAATTACAGATGAAGTCATACCACAGTTGATCAGTGAGGAGATATTTTGTTTTGAGAATTTGGGATGAGGAGAAACGTGAGGGACCCATGCATGCAGGACTACAGACAAACCAGAAGAACACAGATGTAAACTGATTTTATTGTTTTGAAAGAAAAAAAACTAATAATTTATTTACCAAGGTTCATTAAATTGTTCATAAGTGACAGACAATTATGATGTTACAAAAGATTTCAAATAACTGCTGTTCTTCTGAACTTTCTATTCATCAAAGCACCTTGAAAATAAAATATATCATGGTTTCCACAAAAGATATGAAGCAGCACAACTGTGTTCAACACTGATAATAATCATAAATGTTTTCTGAGCAGCAAATCAGCATATTAGAATGTTTTCTGAAGGATCAAATCACACTGAAGACTGGAGTAATAAAGCTGAAAATTCTGCTTTGACCACAGCAATCAATTGCATTTTAACATATATTCACATAGAAAACAGCTATTTTACATTGTAATAATATTTCACAATATTACTGTTTTTACTGTATTTTAAATCAAATAAATAAAGTCTTCATGAACATGAGAGCGATCTCTAATTTATTTTATTTTTTTATTTGAGCAGTAGTATACCTTATATTAACAAATTATTTTGGTAAAGTAAGTTTCAAAGAGTTTAGGAATTTCTGGATCTCACCAGAATGTTGTGAACATCATTAACACTTTTTCCACGGACTGGAACACCATTGATCTCCAGGGTTTCATCTCCTTCACTGAGCAGGTTGCTTTTCTCAGTCGGCCCTCCGCTCACCACCCGACTGATGATTACACGGTCATGTTCGTTCCGAACGGTCACACCCTAAACAATGTTAAGGTGTAGCGGTACAACAAACACATCGTCAGAAACTACAGTGACATATTCAATGCGGCCCTTAGAGACTATGTATTATGTAGATGAATAACACAGACACTTACCAAAGGCATGTCACGAGTTTTCTCCAGGGAAGCCAGTTTGGTGGTGTTTTCATCCTGGTCCACGGATTCAATAGTTTCGACATCCAATTCTTGCTCGGCAATACAGTCATGAGCTTCCATCAGGGCCTGAGGAAGAGCCATGAACATGAACACTGGTGAATGGAGATGTCAGCATCGACTCTTTTGATTTGAGCCAGTAAGGAATCATCCAGAACACCTTAGCATCCGCATAGTAATACCCCAGAAACCATGTAGCAAATAGAACACCCCTGCAATTGAACAGCAACAAAAACCCTCATAGCACTTCAGCAACTGCATAGCAAACACCCTAAACACACTAGCAACTATTTTACAATCAACCAGAACACCATAGCAACTGCATATCAACATTTTAAAACACTTAGGACACCTTAACAAATTGCATAGCAACACCCTTAGAACCACACAGCAACTCCTTAGTAAACACAGGAAACACCCTATAGCAACTACCTAGCAACACCCTTGCAACCACCCTGAACACCATAGCAATTGCATAGCAACAATTTCAAAAACTTATAACAACTGCTTAGCGACACCCTTGCAGCCATCTAGCATCTCCTTAGTAAACACAGAAAACAGCCTATTGCAACTACCTAGCAACACCCTTATAACCACCCTGAACACCACAGCAACCGCATTGCAACATGTTATACTACTCAGAACACCTTAGTGACTAAATAGCAACTCCCTAGCAAACTCAGAAAATGCCCTATAACAGCTACTAGTAATGCCTTGCAATCACCCAGAACACCATAACAACTACACCACAACACCACATTTTAAAACAATTAGAACGCCTTAGACAATGCATCGCAACATCCTAGCAACCAACTATCAAACACAGAGATCACCCTAGCAACCACCTAGCGACAACCTAGAAATGCCCTTGCAACCACCTAGTACACCATAGCAATTACACCACATTTTAAAACACTTAGAACACCTAAGACATTGCATAGCAACAACCTATCAACTCCATATCAAACACAGAGTACACCCTAGCAATAGACTAACAACCCAGAACACCACAGCAACCACATAGCAACATCTTAAAACACTTAGAACAACCTGAGACCTGCATAGCAACACCCTAGCAACCACTCACAACGCCCTAGCATTATGTTGGCAACAAGTTACATAAAATAACCATATGCTTTGAAAAAAAGCCATGCTTTAAAATGTAATTTAAACAAGCAAACAGTCAAACATCTTTAAGCTAAGAAGCACCCAAACAAGTTCCCGCCCATGTCGTTTAACCTGAGACTCTGTCCCGGCCACAGGATTGGTCCTTTACCTCAGTGAAGGTGACAGGTGTCTCGTACCTTGCAATAATAACATCAGTTTCTGCCAAACGCGATGCACAGTTTAACCTGAACATAAACCCGCCATAATCTCCCACAGTGCTGTCAGTCATTATATCACCTCTTACCTCCTCATGCATTTATACCGTATGAAGAATAATAGCGCTGTGCTGTTTTAAACAGCCGCTGTGTGTGGTGACAGAACGCAGCAGGAGGGCTGAATATCTGCGGGGAGGGGAATCATATTGTGGCCTGTTCTGTGGCAGGTATCTGTTTCTAAGGCCGTTAATTGGATCTAACCTGTGGTGTGTACAAATAGACACATGGAGAGGTTGTTTTCACACCCTTGTTTTGGGCCTGAATATGTTAGACAACAATCAGGTCTTGATTCTTTGATCAACAACTATGCATCTACATCACTAGTTCAGGTGTGGCCTGATGTGGTTGCAGACAGAAAGATGCAAACAATAAATTGCAACTAACCATATCATCATGCATATTTCTGAAAACAAAATAAAAGGCTTAGCAGCTTTTAAATGGGAGGAGAAAATCCCTAGTGAACACAGAAAACACCCTATAGCAACTACAGCCTAGTAACACCCTTGCAACCAGGCAGAACACCATAGCAACCACATAGCAACACCCTAGCAACTACCTATCAAACACAGAACACCCAATAGCAACTACCTGGCAACACCCTTGCAACAGATAACTGCACAGAAACTGCATAGCAACACCCTAGCAACTACCTATCAAACACAGAGAACACCCAATAGCAACTACCTGGCAACAGCCTAGCAACACCCTTGCAACGAGGCAGAACACTACAGCAACCGCATAACAACATTCTAAAACAATTTAGAACCTGCATAGCAACATGCTGGCAACCATCTATCAACTGCCTATCAAACACAGAGAACACCCTAGCAACAGCCTAGCAACATTTTAAAACACTTAGAACACTTTAGAAACTGCATAGCAACACCCTAGCAACCACTTATCAACTCCTTATCAAACACGGAGAACACCCAAGCAACAGCCTAGCAATGTTTGCAATTACCCAGGAGACCCTAACAACTGCCTAGCAACATTTTTTAAAACACCTAGAACACTTTAGAAACTGCATAGCAACACCCTAGCAACCACTTATCAACTTCCTATCAAACACAGAGAACACCCTAGCAATAGCCTAGCAATGCTTGCAACCACCCAGGAGACCCTAGTTACTGCCTAGCAACATTTTTAAAACACGCAAAACACTTTAGAAACGGCATAGCAACACCCTAGCAACCACTTATCAACTCCCTATCAAACACAGAGGACATCCTATCAAGTAACTAGCAACAGCCTAGCAACTACCCAGAACACCATAACAACTGCATAGCAACATGCTATACCACTCAGAACACCTTAGAAGCTGCTTAGCAACACCCTAGCAACCACCTAGCAACTCCCAATCAAACACAGAGAACACCCTAGCAACAGCCTAGCAATGTTTGCAACAACCCAGGAGCCTCTAGCAACTGCCTAGGAACATTTTAAAACACTTAGAACACTTTAGAAACTCCATAGCAACACCCTAGCAACCACTCAAAACATCCTAGGTGGCAGCATCAATTTTTAGATTCAGAAAACGTAAAACTGAAGATATGGAGTATCATTTCCCAGGTAGTAAATTTAGGTTATAAAAACGTTGCGGGAATGTTGTTTTGAAATGTTTCTAAAGCAACAAAATGTCCAGTTTTCTTGTCATGATTATAATGCTATTTAAACGTTACAAAAACATTTCTTAGAAAGTTTGTCAAAGAACATCATAAAGACATTCCGAGAATGTTGTTCTTAAAATGTGTTCTCTCAACCTTATGAGAACGTTCATCAAGTAAAAGTAACATTAAGGACATTACAGGAATTTTGATTTTCTCTCAACTTTATGACAACTTATAGCAAATATTAATAAGGTTATAAGAACATGCCACAAATATTACGTTAAGCACGTTTTGTCTTAACATTTATTTAACCTTTAAAAAACGTTAGGGAAAGTTGTGGGAATGTTCACTGTTAGCTGGGTTGATGCTTGATGGTCAAAGGATGTGTGTCCAATCAAACTTCAGTAGAATGATGCAGACGTTGTGTGAGATTGATTCCTCGTGATTTTACCTGCAGGTGTGGTGACGTCAGCAGGCCTGTGAGTTCTGTGGCTTCAGTGTGTTTGCTGGACTGCAGGACACTCTCCACCTGAAGACCAAGAACAGCAGTCAACAACACTGATGAGTAGAGCTTCATCTAGACCTGTACAGCAACATCTAGACAAGCATCACTATGACTGTTGCTCATTCAAAATAACCTGATGAAAATCGAATAATTCTCCCTCGGATATTAAGCACAGATTTTAGGCCCCAAAATGAAAATTTACTGAAAATGTACCATCCAGGATGTAGATGAGTTTGTTTCTTCATCCAAACAGATTTGGAAAAGTGTTCACCAATGGATGCTCTGCAGTGAATGGGTGCCGTCAGAATGAGAGTCCAAACAGCTGATAAAAACATCACAATAATTCATAAGTAATCCACACCACACCAGTCCATCAATTAGTGTCTTGAGATAATGTCTTCTATAATTAAGACGTTGTTAAATTCAAAGTTCATAATCCGTAATAACGCTTCCTCCAGTGAAAAAGTGTTCTGGTCTGAATCAGGAGAGAAATCTGCACAGATCAAGCAGTGTTTACAAGCCAAAACCTTTCTAAACAAACATGTGGGTGGATTTTGATGGATTTGTTTCTTACAAACACACAGTTTTCACTTCTCAAGACATTAACTGATGGACTGGAGTGGTGTGGATTACTTGTGGATTATTGCAAAGACTACAGAATACCCAAGACGTGTCACTCGTATAGTTTTGAATGGGGAAAA